ACTTTAAACACTGCTCCCACAACCCATAACCCATAACCCCACCAAATTTGGTATGTGGAATCCTATGTGGCACTAACTCATTGGTCCATTTTGTAGACCCCCTATTTTTGTTGTCATTAGGGGTGTGCAAAAATCGAACCGATAAAAGTGTTATTGGTTTATTGTTATTGGGTTAACAGTTTTTTAATGGTTTTATAAAAAAAATTATTGGGTTATCGGTTCGGTATTGATTTTTAATATTGGATTATTGGATAAACCAATAACCCATTAAGACTAGTAATTTACTACTTTTACTTGTACATAAATATTATATATTAATCTTAATACCTTAGTAGTTACTATCTTTGTTCTTTAGCCTTCAATTCACACTTCACAATGGCTTTGAGTTCACAATTTCACATTATAAAAAACGTTAAAATCTAAAGTAAGAACCATATTCCTCTTAATTTCTCTTTGTATTACGTTTGTATAGTTCTTTTCATCTTTGTTATTATTGTTTCTATTTTATGAGCATTTGTAAAGTTACATTATTGTGTTTTCGCATCAAATTTATTAGAGAAGTCATATATTTGTTTTATAAATATTTTTTATTGGTTAAACCGAAAACCGAACCGTTAAGGACTAAAATCGATAAACCGAAAACCGATAAAAAATATCTTATTAATTTGGTTATTGGTTTAACATATTTAAAAACCGATAAACCAAACCGAATCAACCGATGCACAGTCATATTAGAAGAATCTTTAACAACAGCCCAACCTCAAAAGGAATCTACAATTGAATCTAACAGAAAGTACCCACCAAAGTGCCACACCTTCCACCACTCAATCATGCAAAGTGATGAATAGTGTAATGCATTATTATTATTTTATCAAATACTTTAATATTTCATCAAGAAAAAAGAAATGGGAAACAGATCGATTGCAACCTAATGTTTTCTTCAGCCCCACTTGCAAAATTTTCTTAACGACAAGGTTTGGTTATCACATTAATTTTAGTCAAAAGTCGTGAAACTGACTAGATTCAAGACTTGAAGTTTACTATATAAATTTATATTATTCCTAAGTTATACGTTTAAGTGTAAAATTGTTAAAATTTTAATGAATTTTGCACACATACATATATGTTTCATGTTATAAATAATGAGTTTGGAAGAATCTATTGTCGTGGAAGAGCCCCTATCGATGCAGGACCTCTCAATAAGGTCGGAGGTCTAAAATCAAACTTCATAAAGAACTTTTTTTCTTTTCAAGTTGCCATATAAATTGAATGATAATAATAATAGTATATATACTCTATGTAATTCGAAAGTGATTTAATTTCACTGTCAGTGGATATAAGTTAATCTCTTTAAAAAAAGAATAGAATGTACGCAAACTTTATAAAGTAAGAAGATTAACAATGCAAAGTTTCAATGAGAAAATATAATATTAAGTTAAAACATGACTCAAGAATTGAAAAGGTTGATATAACGATATCGAAATAGTATTGCGATGAATTAGATAAATTGATATAATGATATTTAAATAATGTTGACTTGTAACAATGCTTGAAATTTGAAGATGACACCAAAAAGCAAATTGATCTTTTTGTGAACCGACAACAATAGATTTTGCATAATACAAAAGATTTGATTGTTTAGAAGACTTCAGAATATTCAATAACAAGATGACAAAAATAGTGAAAGGGAATAGAAGATAATATTGTGGGTTCATATCAATCATGAGGATATAAATGAGAAAACAACTTAGATAGCCATGTAAGAAAAGATATAGAATTACCTAAAAAATATTTTATTTCTCAATTATTACAATAATCCTCACATTAAATAATACAAAAAAGTTATTATTTTTCTACAGAAGAATTTCTTTTTAAATGGGATTTTATATAGAGAGAAAGAAAGAGAGAGAACACATCTTTAAAGAAATATTTGCACCACAAGCCATTGCCTTAATGGCCTTATAATCGAGTTGGTCCTGCCTCGGTGTACTTCACTCCTTGACACTTTGCAGGATTTTTAAAAAAATAATTTTTTTTACCTTTTTAGAAGTAATTAATTAAAAATATAATTAAAAAAAATTTATTCTTTTTTCATTTGTCAAAATAGACCAATAAAAAAAAATCTAGACAAGTTGTGCATTCGTCACTTTTCACTTTCAAAAAGGTCTAATAAAGTAATATTGGACTAATAACTTTGAGTGTTTCCTATTCTGGCGACTAAGACACGTACGGTTCCCCTTATTCACTTCTTCTTTAAGCACAAAAAATATATTTAAAAAATTAAGGGAAAACCACCCTTTCTCCTTGATAATATTTAAGAAAATAAACTAAGAATTAACTTACTATTTATTCATCTTCTCCAAAACATTACATTTGATCTGAGGGAGTTTTACATAATTATCAAACCCCTTCTTCATATTTGAAGAATGGAAACCATTCCTTGATATATTATGAATAGAGATGAAGAAAATGAGCAATATGCATGAGGGATAGTAATATAGTATTCCTCCAAAATTAATTAAGCCCCTACACTATACAACAATACAACATGTTTGGTGAGATTGTCCCACCTTTAATTAGAGGTCTCAAGTTCGAGTCCTGAATATGAAGAAAATCTTGTTTGGGAGTGACCCTCAAATGAACCCTGAAGTATGCGATCAAAATTTAATTGAACCTCCAACGCAGATTTCAAACACCAAATGAGAAAAAATAAATAAATGTTTGGGTGGGTGGAGGTTGAAATGTGTAGTCAGACTTCTTCCTGTAAGCTATACAAATTAAATATCTGGGAAACCTCATTTGTCAATATAGTCAGCAGCCCTTTAATTAACTTGGCTTGGTAAATCAGCAAGAATTAAAATTCATTGGTCTGGTTGTGTCTCACAGTAGCCAAATCACCTGCCGTCTTATTGCGAGATAATTTTTGTTAAGGTCACTCAATTAATAATTATTATCACAGAAAGATAATTTTTTTTTATTAAAAAGTCATTTTCAAAACTTTAATTTTACGAAGACACAAGTCTTTGAAAAAAAATGGTGGAATATAAAATCTCTTTATGATGTCATCCCAACACGAATATAGCTCAATTGATCAAAGCAATTCAATATATTATGAGTCTTTTTATATTTTTTCTTTGTTACCTTATGTAGATTGCTATGAACTAGATAAAGAAGATGAAGCTAGAAAGTAGATGAGAACAGAAGAAGTAGATGAATGTTTGTTATTCAATCTTTTAATGATTTACACTATAGCACCACAACATTTTAGGACTACGATCACACTAAATTTAGACAACGCTTGTAAAGTGTTGCCTAAAATATTTTTGGGGACACTTTTAAAGCGTAGCCCATGTTTTTAACTTTTAGCTACGATAAATATATTGGCAACACTGTAGACACGTAATTTTTGACCGAACTTAAGTTTAACTCCATTTTTAGAGCTTAAATATTTTGACTTTTATCTTATTTTATTAAGTTTATTTTAAAAGATTTGAAAATAACAAGAATAGAATCACTTTTTAAGGTAAGTTTTATTTTCAATTGTTTAAAAATGAAAAGAAATGGAAAGTTACACAAAAAAATATGTATTTTCTTTTAAATTAGATTTAATAATAAGTTAGTATTTCTTAATTATAATTTAGAATAGCTATTCATTTATTCTTGTATTTTTATTAGCTAATATTTTTATTATTATAATATTTATTATATTTAATTAAAATAAAAGAAATAACCTACCACTACCCTCACCCCACTTACTCCTCCACTACCCCCACATACCCCACTCCACTCACCACTCCCACATACCACAATTCCTCACAACACACACGTCTACACACTACACCACTACGGAACACAATACTACAATAACAAAAATATATACACAGACAAAAGGGCCAGAAGGAAAAAGGAAAAAAGAAGACTCACATTTTATTTTATATTTTTTCTTTCACTCACAAACAAAAGTTGATGTTGAGGTTCACTTTCGTGGTTTCGAGTTCGTGGTTCCTTATTAGGATTGTTTCCTTTTCGTGAATTGATTTCGCAAGAGGTACCATTCAACTTTTTGTATAATTTGATTTTCACAATTATATAATACTTGATTTCAATGTTATGAAGTTGCTCGAATTTTATGTGCGTTTAATCTCATTATTTTTCATCATGTACCATAGGTTATTATTAATTAAGCATCTCTTCCATCCAATCAAAATTTACCAAATACCTGAAAAATTATTATAATAGTTTGTTTAGTCAACTTTATCTAAATAAAAATGTTCATCCTAGAAAAATTAAGAAATGAAGAGTTACACATTTTTTTATTTTTTATTTTTTCTAATGCTTTTTGTCATGACTTGTAAATATCCTAAAAATATAAATGCATCTATATCGAATTTTAATATGAAATAACTTTATATTTGTTTAAAATTTTAGACTTTTATTATGTAAATAGTGTTTATAAATAGTAGAGGTAATTTAATCACTAATAATACACTTAAATTTTCTAGTAGTATGTAAAATATTAAAATATATGACCCGTTTCAAAGGTCGGTTTCAATTAAGAATGTGGTTACACATCTTTCTTTGAAACACTTAAAAGAAACTCAAGGATGCGGTGACGCACCTTATCCAAATTGTTTTAATAATTAATTTTTGATAATTCAAACAAGAAGTATAAATTGATATTATTAAGCGTGATGAACTCAAGAGGGGAAGACAGTTATGTCTCCAAATGTCAAGATCGAGAATGCAGTTATGCATCCGATTTAAGACTAATAAAATTCAACAATTAAAAAATAAGGAAATTTTGGCATATAGACACAAATTATCCAAAAAATAATCATAATTTAAGTATAAGTCAATAAAAGCGACCGTGCTAGAACCACGGGACTCGAGGGATGCCTAATACCTTCCCCTCGGTCAACAGAATTCCCTTTTTTTTTTTTTTTTTTTTTTCTCCCCCCCCCCCCCCCCCCCCAAATTTTTATTGGATAAAAAATAATAATTAATAAAACATTAAAACATTACATCAGTTCCAGCTGAAGAAGAACGTAACATACGCTCCAACTTCTAGTTCCAGCTGAAGAACATACGGTCCAGCTGAAGAACATATGCTCCAGTTGAATCTGAAGAACGTACCTCCAGCTGAAGAACATACGCTCCAAGCTTTGTTAGTGTAAGATGTTCTTTTCCCCAAATAAGAAAAACTTTCTGTCATTTTGAAGAACATGATTTTCTCTCCAAGCTAAGTATGAAGAACACGATTTCTGTCAAACTTTCTCACAGATTTTAGGATTTCATGGTGAAGAGCTGAATAGCTACTCGCTGTAGAACACGATTTCACAATTTCTTGTTGAAAGGATTTTGTTGGAATATGGTTTATCAGGTAAGAAATTCTATCTTTGAAAGTCTAATTTTAATTTTAGGATTTTGATATTCTTGTGTTGCTGATATGATTTTTGTTGATTTTAGCTCGTAGTTGTATTACCCTAAACATTAATCACTAAATAAGTATAAATGGGTTGATTAGGGTTGATTAGTGTAAAGAGGTATACTTTATTGAACATAACCTTTTACCTCACAACCAAAATCCCCTTTTTCCTGGCTTGTATCTTCTTCTTGCTACTAGCAATGTTGATCAAACTATTAAATTACTCTTTTCTTTTGCAGTTAGGAATGACCCTTTTAATTCCTTAGCTGAAAAATCTTAATAAGTTGCAATCTTGGTTGAGTAAAACTAATGAAGCTTAGAACTTTTACAAATTCAGTGGCAGTTGATGACCAATTAGGCTTCACTTTGGCAAGTATAAATTCCCCCAAATAATTCTTTTATTCAAAAGCAAATAAGTAAGCAAAGATATTGATTTTGTAAAAAAGGAAAGTTATAAACTTGGGAAATCAATCAAGAGTGAATTTATTTGATAGAAAGGGCTGAAAACAGTGATGGATTAGGGGGAGACAACAAAGGAGGAACTACAAGAAGAAAATTCTAACCATGCTGGAAGCATTTTCCATATAAATACCTTTTGAGTACATCTCGAGGGGTAAGTTTGAATTGATGCCTTGAAGGATGTTTTTCTTATTAAATTAGGCAAGATGGTGGATCTTTGACTATTAATAAAAATTAAACTTAGATGCTTGAAAATGCAGAAAATTAATTACTTCATACTCTCTGAAATATATGGTAGTAGTACTTCATTTGAATTTCATGGTTGAGAACATTTGTACTTCATTCACTCTTCATTGTTTTGCACAACTTTTGAATCTGGCTTGAAGAGTAGCTTTCTCCGAGTTATATTTGGCTTTTGAAATTGATGCTTAAGCAAAATTTAGGATAGTCAATCAATTGAAGGTCATGCGAACACTTACTTTCGGTTGTTTTAAAATTTAAATTTTGCGTAATCAGAAACAAACGTTTTATACATACTGAGGTTTTATTTTCCCTACCATCTTCTTCCATGATAGTGTAGTTTTCATGTTTTTTCCATTTTATTTAGATTTTAGGGTGCAGTGATTAAGTTACCTTTGGATAGAAATGACTGGCTAAGCATTCTTATGGAAATTGATTACAGGTGTTAGAGAATTGTGGACTTGTACATGCGAATCAACAGTCGTCTTATTAGCTTAGTTTTGACCTGTCAATGCAGAAAAGCTCTAAAAGATTTTCACACTATATTGTACTTTTGGTCTTCTAAATAAAGTGTTTGAACTTCTTTAAAATGTTGTTTACAACTTGAACCTGCTTCTCGATAGAATTTCTTAATCTTGATTAGTTCATTTAAATTCCTTAGAGTTAGAGAGACGCTGAAAGTAAGCAAAAGCTTAACCATTCGTAGGACTATGTTCTGTTTTCTTGAATATGTTGAATTTCCTATGATTCTTACTGTTCTTAGGATGGTTTGATTGTCAACCTTTTTTTATTTTGTTAAAACTTCTATTTGACTAAGGTTGTTAATTTTATGTGGTTAGATAACACTTGGAAGTAAATTAAGTAAAGGAAAGTAGCATGAGCTACAAAATTAAGAAAATTGAAACAAGTTTTGAGAATTCATTTCACTAAAGTGTATAACTGATGAGTTTTCTATGTAAATCGTGCAAAACGAATTTGGTGATGAGTATTTAAATTCGCTCACAAAACTTTAACTTTTAGTCATCTGAATTCCATTTATTTACTTTCTTTATTAATTGTGTCTATCCTATTAATTTTACTTATTTTTCCTTGGAAGTATAATCAACACAAAAACATTTGTGGAGGATTCAAGGTTTGATTTGGAATAGCACAAGAGCCATGACTAGGTAAGAAACTTTTATCATCTCATAACACATGATTCTAATAACTTACTCGTGACTTTTAAAACTTGTTTGTGAAGTAGTTAATGATTTAATGATTATTATTGAAAGATTAAATATTAATATCTTGATCTTCTAGGAATTCAAATATCCCATCCAAGGATTGGATAAATTTAGCAAGGTAAAGCAAAGAGTATATTGATGGTGTTGAATCATTCCTAGATTTTGCTTACTCTTATGGAGATCCAATAGGAGAGGAAATTCAGTGTCCATGTGCAAAATGTTGTAATATTCGCTGGACTTGAAGGAATGTAGTGTGTGATCATCTAATATGCTATGAATTTGTTAAAGGTTATTGTTTATATCCCTACTCTATTCAAACAGGGCGAAACGTCGCGCTGACTCAAAAAATAATCAATTAATCAATTTTAAAAGAATTTAAAGAATAAACGAATTTTAAAGGAATCGCCACCTAATTTTAGGAAAAACTAGGAAACCAATTAAATGATCTACGAAACCAAGAAATTCTAGGTAAGGGGTTCAAGGTATTCCGAAGGGAAGGTGTTAGGCATCTTTCGAAATCCACAACTGTGGGTCCCGGCTGAATTCATTTTTTCAAATTGAGGAGGAGGTAAAAATAGTATACAAATATAACAAACATGCAATATACACAAGTAATAAAACAAACAAGTAATACGAGAAACGACCTAATATTTGCCTATCATCAATAATATACACAATAAATAATAAAACAATATAATTCAAACTTTGTTCGAATAGCTCTAATGGGAAGCAGCTCTGAGTACCTGTAAAGACACTTAGTAAAAGTGTTAGTACTAAATAATAGTAACATTACTCAAATAATATTAAAACTTTTATAATTTTAAAGTTAAAAATTTATACTCTTAAAGCTTTAAATACAAACTTTCAAACTTTAAAAGTATAGAAGTTTAAATTTCACACTTTAAAAGTTTGAAAATTTAAAT